AAAACAAAACAAAGGAAATGATTTCAGAATGTCTTCGGTATCGCAGTCGGACTTGACATGTGGCAAGGTTCAAGCGAAAGAGGAAAATTCATCGCTTTTACATCTGGTAAAAAGAGATCATGGATAAAATTCCACGCGTGAAGATTACTGAAGAACAGAAAAACATTCTGAAATCATTTCCTTTGTTTTGTTTTCCTTTGTTTTGTTTTGTTTTGGCCTGTTTTGTTCTCGGTAATCTAATCTCGGTAGGTAAATCGGTCCTACTTTATCAGCATGTATGCGGTAATTTGGTATAATTAGATTCGCTTATAAGCGGTAGATTAAAGGCGAATCGGGTGAAGAAAACATGCATGCAGTCGTGTCTTTATCACCTGTTGTGTAAACTGGTCAACACAAGCCATTCTGATTCGCTCACTGGTGGCAGGACTGTCCAGTCTGAAGATCCCTTCGATACCCGATTCACGTCTTAAAAGGAAAAAAAAGAAACGAAATTAATTTTTCCTTTATCTTCATCTGTACCTCGGCCAGGACGTCATCGTACTTGCGCGCGCAACTTATGTCCTAACGGTCAACCAATTTCCGTGTGATTATTGAACCTAGAGCCATGAGGATTGATCGTCAAATTTTTTAGACGATATTGCCACGAAAAGGCCGTCATTTATCAAAATACCTGTCTCAGCCTAGGCACTCAGAACTCTTACACATTTATAAACGTTAGGCTTCGGTTCACTGTGGTAAACAAAATGTGGAACATTGGCCTCACCTGGCGTCGGTGATGGCCTCTTTAATGGCGAAGAATACAGAAGCAGCAAGAAACAAAGAGGGTTCTCCAACGCCCTAAAATTAAATAAGAGACTCTATTGGTTAATAAATTGGCTTAATATGTGATTTCTTCCAGTTACAATAATCTTGCATCTGTTCGACAGATTCAGTGACAAGACAAACAAGCAAACAAATAAAAAAATTGAGCGAAGGGCATGAACAATCAAATGATGTAAATCAGTCAGTTTGTGAAGCGCTCATTTATTGGTCAGTCAGCCGGTTGGTTGCATGGTCAATCAGACGGTCAGTCAGGCAGACAGACAGATAATCAGTCAGTAAACAAGTCTGTTAGTCAATAAGTCAGTGAGTCAGCCTTATGAGTGAGTCAGTAAGCCACTCACCATCAATCATTCATCAAAATATAGAGTACCCATAAAATAGAGTCTCGTGGTGCGTAAAATACCTTTGAAGAATAGATGGCTTTATCGTTTGGAGCTTTCCGAAGAAGATGGACATTGAACTCCACTGGTATGTCTGCGAATCCAGGAATCTTGTACGTCCCAGGCCCTGTCGTCCATAAGGCGCCATTCTGAGAGCATCGCACTTCCTCTAATGTAAGCATGCCGAGTCCTTGAACAAAAGCGCCTTCGATCTGAGATCATAACAAAAACATTTATCACGGGAGGAAAAGTAAGTTCATATGAAATATATTTATAGAAACAACATTCAAAGCAAAGAATGATGTGATATGGTTACTGACCTGGCCAATGTCGATAGCCGGGTTAAGACTGGTACCAACATCCATCACAATGTCTGTGCGAAGAACCTGCTCACACAAATTCACCCGTAAAAAAAAACTTTTGAAAATATAACTTGCGCATTTCTTTTTAGCACAAAAATTGTGATAGAACAAAAACAATTTATATCGTTTTTTGACAGGTACGTTTAGTTTGTACTCTAGAGGATTGAAACATGTTTGATTATACGAACTGTGGAATTTGGCGTCCCTTTTAACTTTTAAGTTACGACCTTGTCCGCTACCCAGATATTCTAAGGCCACCAAATTGGGTAAAAGATCTGGGTACACGTTCGCGTATGAGGTGCTTGGTTACATTATATTACATAGTTTGTTAAAACTTCCGATAGCGATGCGAGGAGACGTCACTTACTTGATGATCTCCTGTCAGACAATCGATTTCCACTTCAGAACAGGCTGCGCCATACGCGTAATAATTGTACAAACGTCCCGAATTAGTGTTCCAATCGTAATTAAGGTCAGGCACTCTGTATAAGATTAAAAAATTACTTCGAATCAACATTAGCACAAACTTGCACTGAGTCGGCTTGACTTGAAAATCGTCCTTTAGTTGAAATAGAAATGCGCTTTTTACGAAAAAAAGCAGGATAAAAATGTCTTAAGTGGGAGGGGTAGGGCGGAGGTGAAAGGAAAAGGCGAAAGGGACTGGTCCCCAACAAAAATTTATGGATGGAGGAAGCACAATGGGGAAATTATAATTGAAATAACTCAGACTGTAATCATTATCCTTACTTGTAAAATCCATTTGCAGAGAGGTTCACGCGGTCAAAGTAGGCCGCTTTTACCCAGTCCTCCCACTTTCCCTTGGGATCCTCCATCTGATATGGCTTAAGTCTGTTCAGTATTTTGTCGCAAGCATTCTGCAAACAATATCAGTAAGCGTATTGATGCTTTGTCCTTCATAGTATTTATTAATTTTTTTCCGCTTGTCGATAGGTTGTAAGACCCTTTCTTTGGCGGGAAAACCATGGACCTCTTGAGTGCGTCTGCCGCATTCCATTCTCCCCCACCCTCAACCTTACACTCTCCTTGTCGAAAGTTTCTCGAGAGTTGTACAAAGACTGTGCGTTTACGGCGGGAAGAAGACTAGAAAAAGAAAAGCTAGATGCATAATGCACAATTGAGAAAATTGTTGAATGAGTCTTGAGCCGGGAGGCGGGATTCCGTTCACGATTGGTTTTGCTTAACTACGCTCAAATTTGGTCCAGGAAATTCATGCTACTCTCTCAGCTGACGAAACCGAGAAAAAGAAAATGTGACTCCATTGCTCGCGTTTTCCTTCACTCCAAGCAGCGTGCTTGTCGTTACTTTGAGTTTTCATCAGTTCCTTGAGCTATTCATTTCTGCTGTTTTTGGCCATTTCGAGTTCTTTAGTTTTGATTATAAATGTACAAATCTAATAAAAAAAGGCGCTCTCGCGCGAAAAAGCTATTAGCTATACTCTTACTTTAACTGCCATGCCGTTGAGATCAGAGGAGGCAGAACCTGCTGTCTGGGTAGAATTAGGAACTGTGTTTGTGCTTGTTTCACTTATTATGATCTTGGATACAGGAATACTTAAACATCTGGCCGCTACCTACAAAAAAATAACCAAGGCAAGTTGTAACTCGAGCTCATGACGTTATATCTTGTATAGTTGTCACTGTACTCGTCGTTTCAACGACTTGACGTCATAAGCACTCTGCGCACTCTATCCCAGACCTCCCGCCGAATACGATGATATGATTCACTAACCAGTGACGGTAGTAGTTTTGAAATAAATTTAAAGTATTGAATACATCATAAGAAAGGTTAATCAATGTTTTTTTAAACGTGTAAGAGACTAACTTTGAAGAGTGGGTAGAAAGTACTTCCCTAAGATTAAGGCTGCGGCTGCCTTCTACAATAGCTTATTTTTGCAAAAAAAAAAAAAAAAAAGCAACACAACAATAAGTTTCCAAAGGAAGCAGGAGATGATTGCTTTCCACAAGAAAGGACGCTCTCGCTTTTTACTCGTCACCAGTCCTCCAGTGGAGTGTTTCATGAAGGGCCTCATAAAGAGGCTGAGAACCGCAGCGTAAGAATAATTTGTTTAAGACAATGGGCGCGATCTCTCAGCCATTCGATATTGTTCGCGCTTGAACATCGTTGTCGACCATTTACTAAGTCAACGCCTAAACCATTTAAATCAGTCTTTCTCTACGGCTTGAAAAAAAGCACAAGCCAAAAATGTTTGCAGGAACAGCTCACCAGGCTGACAAACATCTCACCTGCACCATTTTTGTGTGCAGTCCTTGGCCCATTTCTGTTCCGCCATGAGTTAAAAGAACTGATCCATCTGTATAAACATGCACCAGAGCTCCAGCCTGAAAAGGAAAAAAAAATGTCATACTGTTGATACAAGGCAATAAACTCAGGAAAAGTTTTAAAAGCTTTTTATACAGATTCCAAACCTGATTTTTGGCGCGTAAAGTAACTCCTATGCCAAGCATAGTGGGTATCGGCGAAATTCCACGTTTCCTCCATCGATTTTCCCTTTAAGTAGAAAAATTTTGTTTAAAAAGGAAATAACTAGTTTTGATTTTTAGGAATGAAAAGAATATGATGAGTGAAGAAATGATGGGTGATGAAAACTAATTTCAGACGTTACCTGTTAAAGGAATGGACAAGCTTTCTACGTTTCTCGTATTCGCATTTCTCTACCAGTTCATTCCAAACTCGCTGAAGCTGGCAATTCGTGAGTTTTTGGTTAACGTGAGTTAGATCTCCTTCTGCGTAAAAATTTAGCTCCCGCACCTGTTTGTGAAACGAAAGTTGGTTCGTTGTCATTTTGTGATTTTCTCACATCCCCGAAGTATTCAAGATTTGATCAAAACTGAACATGTGAGCCTCACGGAAAGCAAAACGTTTTAGTCTTTGTTGGTTCTGACAAGTCGTATATCGTTATATTGATAAGTTCTTTTGCTTCCAATCGGTAGGTCTTTAATTGTCTCAAGTAAAGATCATTTCTTTTCTTAAATCAGTTCATCAGCAAGTTAAAATGAAACTTATTACATCAAAATCGCTAAATCGTTATCTATCTGTTTGACCGAAAAATGGGGATTGAGGTAGGTGAGAAATTCCACAAAACAATAAATCCTGATCAGACAGTTTCTCACTTTTTCGTTCTTTATTCGAGTGTACGATTAGTCTAAGTAGCCTTCTTGACCCAGTCGTATAAAGGACGGATAACGCTATCCAAAGGATAAATCGCTATCCGGCGAGTGAGTGATAACAAAACGTATATCGTTATCCACGGGATAGAGTTTTATCCCGTGGATAGCGCTATCCAACACTAGAACAACCGGGGCCAGATGTAAGAACGTTAGAATACCGTGACACAACCAACCTGTCTTTGCGAAATGCCACAGATGGAGGCAATGTCGGAGATCAATGACTCACAAAATAACATACTCTGCAAATTAAATCGTTAGCCATCAGAACTGTTTATTAATGTACTCCAAAAATAATTTATTTACATTTTTTTTTGTCGGTGGGTAACTGAATTAAAAAAGCGACGTCAGTGGCGATTGATGTCTCTTGACGTTTGCAGTTTGTATAACGGGACTTTACCAATCTTGAACCATATTCAATAAATTTTAAGGAGAATAGAGCGCCTTTGGGCGCAAAACCAAAACTAATGTAAACTGTCGTAAAACCAAAACTAATGTAATCACAACAGTCAATCAGAAAAAAGGAAAAAACCTTTTTTAGATCCAATGAGAAATCAAAGTAAAAACAACCAAACTGCCAAAAGCGCGGCAAAACGCGGCTGACCAAGTCGTGACGGTTTTTTTAGTTTTGCATTTGATTGGTTTAAAGAGTGGCGCGAGTTTTCTAGACCAATCAAAACTAATGTAGTCTCGGATCACTTTCGACACTTGGTTGAAAACTGCTTCAAATGGTCGCTCAGATTACTAGGTCTACCTCAAGACATTTTAAAGTTTGTTTTGTTTTGCAATAACTTACCTGTGGAACACCAAATCCCCTGAACCCTGTGGCTGATGCGATGTTTGTTTTACACAGGCGGCCAACTCCACGAATGTTTGGAATGAGGTAACAGTTTGCCATATGGAACATGGATCTTTCCATCACCTGGCAAAGTGGATTTGAATAGTAGGCAAAGTAAAAACAAGTCTTAAAATGATAAAAAAAGTCGTTAAATAAACTGTGTGCCCACCTATCTTTACGTTGTAGAGTCCAAAAAAAAAGTTCTACCTTATTAGAAACATCCAACGTGTTTCCAGCATTGCTGTACAAATTGATGTCATACGCCTTTATCTTTCCATCGAATGTAAAACCCACCTAAAACCGTGACAGGAAAAGGGCAATATAAAATATTCGAGCAAGCTTTAAATTCTCCTTTTTCAGTCGAAAATTAGTTAAAAATAATTCATGCTCAAAACATATTCTTCTTGACAATGGTCTATTGTAGGGTATAAATGTATGGGAAATGGGAACGAACTGTTGAAACGATTTGCTAGCACCTATATTCATGCGTCTTTGCAAGAAAGTTTTTACCTATGCAATCTAACACACATATTTTTATAATAGCTACCTTGTACTTTGCTAAGAAAGGATGCCGCATTCCAGTGCTCTTCATGTCTTCATCTCGATCAAGCATGCACCTTACAGGTCTACCGGTTCTTTAAAAAAAGATAAAAATAAATTAAGGGCTCTTCCTCAAACTAGGATAAATTCTTAGACACTCTTTCTCGAGTTTACCCCGTCAGAGTTTAAAAATATATATATTTAGCATAAATACGAACGTATTTTGATCAACGTACTGTTAAGGAACCTAAATCTGAAACACTACTACGCTTAGCCGAACTAGTGCTCACACTCAATTGTTTTTCATTCGGGGACAACTTTTTCAAACAAACCAATGGTGTAGCCATGGGTACCAAAATGGGACCTAGCAAGTCCATTCTTTTTGTAGGTTTTGTCGAACACCAATTTTTCAGCCAATACAACGGCTCCAAACCTGAACTCTACGATCGCTACATCGACGACTGTATCGGCGCCACCTCTTCTACCAGAGAGGGGAGCTGACTCAACTCATAACCGCAGTCAATTCTTTTCACCCGGCTCTGAAATATACCTGGGAAATTTCTGACAATTCTTTTTCCTTTTTAGACATCAAAGTTTCAATTGAAGGCAACGCTTTATGCACTAGTGTGTATTACAAACCTACAGACTCGCATAATTACTTGTTGTATTCGTCTTCGCATTCATCCCACGTTAAGAATTCCATTCCTTTTTCTCAGTTTCTAAGACTCCGTCGTTTATGTAGTGATGACTCTGATTTCCACCACAAATCAGAGTCAATGTGCCAGTTTTTCAATAAACGTGGTTACCCTGATTCTGTCGTTCAAGCGGGTTACCACCGCGCCCAACTTATTGATCGACATTCAGCACTACAAACGTCTGTAT